CCCCAAAACCCCAAAACCCCAAAACCCCAAAACCCCAATGGGTATTCCCAAATAGAAAATAATTTATGGTCTAACTCATTTTTATTAATTACTAAATTTAACAGACTGTTTTGAAATCAGAGGCCGAGGGTTTCCAGCCGGCATTGTTCTCCTCTCACGAACCAAAGGAATTCGTATACCCTGCCTCCGCTCATCAATGGTGAACTCAGAAATCTCTTCAGGGTCAATAAATGGATATAGGTGGACCTTCTTCCCCTCAAGAGGTTTCTTCTTAAGTTTTTGATTAGGTTTATTTATCATCTTGTCAATTTTGGTCTTCTTCCTGACATGCACTTTCCTCATAACATTCTCTTTCAACTTTGGCTTAAGAGTTTTATTATATCTGACAAAATCAACTTTCTTCTCATTAATCTTATTCGCCTTGATATTATTATCAGAGCTGTAGGATATCAGCTTCAGAGTGGAACTGAGCTCATTATTTGTGCTTCTTCCCCTTGACAGCACTAATCTTGAGTTTATTTAATATTAGTCTCAGTTCGAATCCCATCAGACTTTAGCTTCTTAATTTTGTTCCGCTTCGTTGACTTAAAAGAGAACAAAACCTTGTTAAAACAGTCTTTGCACTGACCTATTTTCTCAAGTACTTTTGTCTCTTTGGACCATAAAATCTTGGATTCATCTCTTTTCGAAGAATTCGGACTGAGTGCTGTAGCTCTCTCATCGGTGACCTTCGAACTTCGAATATAATTCGAATGATAATTCGTAGTTCACTCAGTGTGCTCTGTGGTCGTATTCCTGCTTACATTATTAGTATGCCGGTTGCTATTCCCTATACCTTAGCTAGCATGAGTTCACAAATGTCACGATAAGAATATTCATGAGCCAGAGATTATCAATAATTGTTACTATACTATACAGCTCACCAACTTGGAGCTTTCTCTAACCTAGAATTCACCTAACAAATTCGAAGTGTGACACACAAACTAGGTCTGATTTTTCGGATATTGAAGGGTTTACCTTTCCTCAAGTTTGACTTTTTATAATTTACTGCAGTTTCAGACTCCATTTAAATTAAGTTTAACAGCTATTCCTGTCAATAATTTATAATATAGTTGGGGTTTTGGGGTTTTGGGGTTTTGGGG